CAAGTCCGGCTCCGCGGACCTCGTCAACAATATGCAGCCCCGCCCGCCCGTCCTCATGGCCGTCTCCCCAGAGACAATCTCACAAGTCTACGCCGCCACAAACTACGGCTTCCTCTTCGCCCCCGTCTTCCACCCGGGCATGCGCTACGTCGCGCCCATCCGCAAAGAACTCCCCTGGAGGACAATCTTCAACCTCCTCGGTCCCTTGGCGAACCCCGTCGAGGATATCCTCGAGGCCCGTGTCATCGGTGTAGCGAGGAAGGAGCTCGGCCCCGTCTTCCTCGAGGCCCTCAAGATTAGCGGTTCGAAAAAGGCCATGATCATTTGCGGCGAGGAGGAGCTGGACGAAGTCAGCTGCGCGGGTCCGACGCTGGTCTGGAGACTCAGTGAGGCGGCGGACAGTGAAGTGGTAGCGGATCACTTCAAGGTGCAGCCCAGCGATTTCGGCTTGGGAACGCACCCCCTCAACACCGTATCCCCCGGTAAAGAGCCGGCTGAGAATGCCGAGATTCTGAGGAGGATACTGGCGGGTGAGATGGCTGACGACGACCCCATTCTCGAATTTGTGCTGATGAACGCCGCGACGCTGTTTGTCACGTCGGGTATCTGCGAGGCCGAGACGAGCAACATGGGCCCCGGCGACGACGGCCAGGTGATTACCGAAAGGGGCCCTGGCGGAGGTCGCTGGAAGGAGGGTGTGCGGAGGGCGCGCTGGGCTGTCAAGAGCGGTGAGGCCTGGAAGCAGTGGAAGGCGTTCGTCGACGTCACGAACGGCTTCAGTCAGTAGAGGTTGTGTAGATAAAGAGTGCTAGACCATGAGGACAAAAAGTGTGATGACAGGGGTCAGCCAAGACAAAAAGGAAAGCAAGGAAATGGAACATCACGGCCTCAACACGAAATGTATCACGCAAAAAAAGGTTGCTGCTGCTCAGACGAAATCTAGAGTCTCGTACGCTTTTTTTGTAGCCTTCTCTCTTCTATCACAACTTTTGATGATGCAACTATGTCCTTGATTTCGACAAATGCCGCAACGAAGCACGCGTCCATAGCCCGGCCCTTTACCCAGCCTTGGCTTCCAAATCACCGAGGGAACAAATCCGCCCATTACCGTTTGGAAACGCTTTCCCACTGTTCGGGTATCTGGCTGCACAAATCGCAATATCGAAACCGGCAACCCTGCCTTTATTTCCGCCTGAGCTGGTTCCATATCCTCCGAATTGGCGACATAGGCGGGGGCTTGCGCTCCTAGGCAAAGAGGCTTACTTCAGGCCACCTCGCGTGCGCCTCCTTCTTGAGTGTCTCCGCCTCAGTGCTCCTCCACGCCTTCAAGAGGTTGTACACCTCAGTGGCAAGCTCGAAGTTGGCATCGGGAGCCTTGACGACGTTCGCAAGGTCGGCCTCGGCCTTGGCGCTGTCCTCTCCAAGCACTCTCCGTGTCTTCAGGGCCGCGACGATGTGAGTGGGCTTGGCCTTGTTGTCCGAGAGGAACTCTTCGTTGTACTTCTTCAAGTCACCGGCAGGGGGAGTGAACTCGGACTTGATTAGTTCTTGCACCTTTGCGGGCAAGCTCTCGAATGCCGGGCGTACAACGTGAGCAAACTCGACAACGCGCTCGTGGACACCGGGGTGAGAAGCATCAAGTGCGCGGGCGGCGTTGAGAGAACGCAGCGCAAGAACGTACTTCTCTGTAAACTTGTTAGTACTATTCAAAGGGTAGTGCCGCCATTGTCAAACTTACTTCGGCGCAGATAAACATCGAAACCGGCGAATTGGGCGTTGATGTTTTGCGGGCTGAATTGCAGAAGAGGGGTGACGAATCGCATCGCCGCGCTGAGGGGCTCGGCCTCCAAAAGCTTCAGACCGAGAGGGTCCTCATCCTTCTTCTTGGGCTCTTCGCTGGCGGGCTTGCCCTTATTAGGATCTTGCTTCGCCGCACGATCGGCCGCCTCCCTCTCCAGGCGCTGTTGCTCCTTCTTGGCCTTCTTCGCAGCCTTCTTTCTCTCAGAGGCATCGTCGCCGTTTGCGTCACCGTTGACGCCGTTCGCTGCGGGGCGGTCGGCTCTCCTGAGGTAAATGGCGACGGCGTCCAAAGCGGCTCGTGAGTAGAAGGGGTGGTCTCTAAGGTGGTCCTCCCAACGGACCATATCTACGTAGGCACGAATCTGGCCCTTTCTCAGGGAAAAGCTGTGGAAATCGAACTGGTCTTCTTGCCAGACGTCGAAGATGTTGTGAACCGTGTGGAAGCGCTTGAGGGCCAAGGCATCATCACCCTGGCGAGCATACGCCTCACCATCCTCGGTAAGGAACCAGACGCATTGCATATCCAGGAGATCCGCGAGAGGGCCACCGACGGTGTCCGCCCTAGTAAAGAGGCCCACAGTCTTCAACGCCTGCTCAGTCTCGTTGTTGCGCAGCTGATACTTGGCTGCCTTGGTGTTGATGTAACGATCGCGGGTATCCAAAGTGCGTGCCTTGTCCATAGTCTCAGATGCCTTTTGGAGGTTGCCCTGGTGCTTCCATATCCTAGCCTTGGTCATGGTGAAGTCGACGCTGTCGGGGACCTTCTCGATAGCCTTGTCGACGTACTCGTGAGCCTTCGTGAGATCGCGGCTGAGGTGGTAATTGTAGTGTTGGGCAAGGAAGTACAGAGCTGCGGCCTCTCCCTTTGAGCGATCGCCGTTGGTTGCTTCCGTGTTTGAGCTCGACTTGAGGTAGTCCTGGGCGAGGGCTTCGAGGGCCTCCTTCTTGGCAGAGTCGGAGTACAAGTGCTTCAGGTTAGCGAAAGTCGACGGAACACCCTTGTTGAACATGAGCGTCAAGTACTCCTTTGCCGCAGCACTGAAGTCGTCACCTGGCCGAGTTAGCACCTGTGAGTACAAAGACATGAACGAACACTTACCAGACAAGAAGTTCAGGGGTAGGCGGCGAGGAGCATCTGAGCGGGGGAACTTCTTGGCGTACTTCTCGTAAATCTCCTTCCTAGCAGCCGCATCACTGTCGGAAAAGGCGTGGGCGCTTTCCAGACCCTCAAAGTAAGCAGGACGGTCAGCGTTGCGCTCAACAAGAGCCTGCCATGCGGCAATAGCCTCCTCCTTCTTGCCCAGCTTGACCAGGTACTTGGCGCGCAGCTCCAAATACTCGAGCCTATCAAGGTTATGCTTAGCGGCACTCTCAAGATGCTCGAGGGCTCTCTGGTAGTCGCCCTGCTCGGCAATGATGGTGTTCTTGTACATGACGGCTTCGGAGTTCTCGTAGTCGCTACGGGAGGGCGTGGACTTGAGCGTTCCCTCGTAGGTGGTAAGGACGTTCTCGGCGGCGGACAGGTCACCTGACAAGTGGTGAGCGATAGCCAGCGCAGTCCAGCTCTGGCGCAGCTGGGGACGGGCCTGCAGCATGGCAGTGCGGCTTGAGATGTATCCGGCATAATCGCGCATCTGCACCTGAAGAATGGCAAGATCGCGCTGGATCTGCGTTGACTCGGGCTCGAGCTTCAGAGCGAACTTGTACGCCTTGATAGCCTCCTCGAAGTTCTTGTTGGCGCGGTACAGCAGACCGTAGACGTGCCAGCAGATGTGCGACTTCATGTCCACCGTCAAAGCCTCCTTGCCCAGAGCAAAAGCCTCCTCTGTCTTACCCTGCGCATTCATGATCAGGGCCTTCATGGCCATTGTGTCGCCATGTTTGGGGTTCTTCTTGAGGATGAGGTCGGCGGACTTGAGACCGCGCTTGTACTGCTTGTCCTCATAGGCGCGGATGACGGCGCGAAAGAGGGAAGCCTCTTTCGAATTAAGAGGTTGCGGCATCGGATCGGTAAGGGGCCGGGGATCGAATCGCCGGCACTGCGAAGAAAAGGAGACCGAGTCGTCGAGGAGGAAGCGACTTTTGGAAGGCTGAGACTATCCCAAAAAGTCGCTAGAGATGCAAACTCTTCGGAAGGCTGGTCCGCAGCAGTGTGTCTGGAGGGGTCCTCGGAGGTCAAGGAGGGGTAGCTAGCTGCAGCCGTGTGACGGAACCGAGCTACTGGCTAGGAATAAAAGTAGAGGACGGACAAGATACAAAGAGTAGAGGTCGGTTGTGTCGGGGACCGAGGACTCGTATCTTTTCGAGAGCGTGGGGTGGAAAGTCGAAGATTGGTCGTGTGCGAGTCCACGGACGGAGCTGCAAGTATTCACAAAGGTTTCGACGTAAACGGGTGGGATTCTGGATGGAAGACTCTGGCCACACACATGTTCCAAGGCTGAGCTGGCTGCCCTCCTTGGGGCTCAGTGCGCCGTCTTCGCCCTGCAGCGACCGCCACCACGGTGTCCGTACCATAACTGGACCTCACCGTTTGGCGGGACGGCGGGCTTTTGGCGGGGCAAAATGAGTCCGGTCCCATTAGGTCCGTTTTCACCGCATCAAAATCGCACCACCAGTGGCCGCATGCTCTGCGCACGTCCCGCTCAGTGACGGCCAATCCGCCGTTTTGGTGGGGGACGGTCAACCAAGGCCCTGGAAAAGGGATTGTGTACATCTCCGTGTTCCCTTACAATACTGATGCATGCCATGATTCGTGACGCATTGAATAGTTGAAGAAGACTAGGAAACTGACAACCTCCATGAAAGACCGCGGGATTTATGGTAAACTTCCTGTTGGACAAATCTCACCAACACAACTGATCTGTGAATGCCCACCGTTGCCAAGTGAATGATCATGGAAACCTAGAACATGACGCTTCCCTATGCTTCAAATTCTGGGACATGATGAGATGCCTCGAAGCAACCAGAGTTCCTATGATCTTTAGGGTCATGGAGCGCAAGAGTTCTCGTTCTCTGCGGCCTTTGCTGCTCTAACATATTTTCTTTCTCGGCCGAGCTTCAAATGGCTTGATATTACTTTGGTGTTTATTTTGTTTATATCTATCGTTATTCATGTGGCGTTATGTTACAAGGTTGGTACAATACGTGGTGGACATTTATACAATACTGGTACAGCTGCTGAGAAGGATGCAGTCTAGGGCCTACAAGCCATCGACTTTCCCGGCAGCTCTTGAGCGCCAACCCGCAAGAGCCTCCTCCCACGAATTTGCCGACTCCCCGCATCGCTGTTTGACCATATCCCACGTTCTTGTCCGCACAATGTTCTCCACGCCCTTCTCTTGCCGAATAAGCATCGCGAGTTGCTCCGTCCGAGGCTCACGAGGGAAGAACCGTCCAGAGTATGGATCCAAGCGTTCGTTGACAACTCGTTCCTTGTCCTTTGCAGCCTCAATCTGCCGTAACAGAACCTCCGGATCGTCTGGGTCTGGACTTGTCGCAACCACTCCGCAATAGTGCAGGACTTCAGCTCGCGCATGCCATGTCGGGAAGAGCACCTGGTCCTTGAAGTTCTGACATGCTTGCGGGTCTATCTGTCGAGGGAAGGAACGCGGTGTTCGTTGTGAGGTCGAGGTAGGGTCGAAGCCGGCTCGCGCGGGTGTTACAAGCGCATTGAGGTTTTGAGTGATGGAGTCGTCGATCGTGGCACGAGACAGCCTTAGAAAGTCTTCAGAAGCACATTAGTGTCGATCATCTAGCAGTTCACGAACATGGTCCAGCTTACCCCTCAGAGCTCCTGTCGAGAAGCAGAACTGTGGTGTAAGATGGGGTTGGGCCGGCGGTTGGGTCATGATGTCTCCAGTCGGGGGGTTGGAGGGGACTGCGCCGGTCGTCGCGGATGACGACTCTTTCTTCCAGAGTATGTTCGCCAGCGTGGATATTGTTGTGAAAATACGCTTGGTTCGGAGGATAGCGATTTCAGGTGTCCCTGCTCAGCACGTATAGGGATCAAAAAATCTCCAAAGACTTGGTTATTATGTGGTGACCACCGCAAACTCGATTACGTCGACGGAAAGCCGTAGGTACCTAAGCTTGAGTGGAAGCTTGGGGACATCTAGGGGTACGTATTCCTGAGGACGGGAACTTTGGAAGAGCTCCGACTGGGTGCCGGTGATAGACCAATCATTTCTACGTTTGATGACCCACCTCGAATCATCGAATCATTCAGGCCGGTCTTGGGGGAGCCATAGCGGAAGATCCTCGGCGCGGAACGGATGGCCTGAGCTTCACGGAAACGTATCCACAACACGATATGGTCCAAGCTTCCAGGTAGGTATGTGGGAATCCAGGGATTAACTTTCTTCATCGTTAGTTTATCTCTATATCTCTCTAAGTACCTTATTATCAAAAAAAGTTAATTCTTTTTAAGTTATAAATATAAGAATATAGTTTTAATAAAATAGTATAGTATTTATTTAGTACTTAAATTAAAATACTTTTTTAAGCTTATTATAAAAAAAATAACTATATTACTAACTACTTATTATTAAGATTTATAAATAGTACTATAGTTTTAATTATAATAACTTTATTTATAATAAATAAAAAGTCTAATTATAAATCCTTTAAAAACTTCTATTTAAGAGCTATAAAAGCCTCTAAGTTAAGTTAAAATACTTATTAAAATATTAATAACTAAATTAACTTTATAATAATAGTTTTAATAAAAAAACTAAAAAACGAACTAAAAAATAAGATTAGAATTTTTATTAATATTAAGCATAATTTATAAAGTATAGTAACGTAGCTATAGAGTATTATTAATATATTTTATATTAAAAAAAGTATTATTAATATTAATAAAATAAATAGGGCTATATTAATATAGTATCTCGGCTTTTTTTTATAATTTAAGAATTATTATTTTAAATAGTATTAAAAGTTTATTAAAAAGCTTTTTTAAGTACTTTAGTATATTTATTATTATTTTTATAATAATAAGACTTTTAATATTTATATATAAATATAAGTTACTTATTTTAAAATAATAATATTAGCTTATTAATAAGTTATTAAAATTATAATTTTAACGATTTCTTAACGAGGGAGAGGGTAAAATAGAGGAAAAAATAGGTAAGAAAAGGGTTAAGGTTAAATAGTACGGAATTCGAGGGTAGGGTAGCGTCTATATATACTGCGGCAATCCTCTAGTAATGCAAAACGATGGAGTTAAACTGTGTCTCTGTGTCTCTCTGTCTCTCCCAGACTCCCACTTCTCGACCTCCCGCCCACGTGTGCCCGCTCAGACCCAGCACCAAGAGTCAAGACATTCTGCTTCAAAGCCACGCAGACATTGCTCTTTAGCGCCCTGTCAGATTTCGATAGTTCGAGAAGCCACGCAATAAATAGCAATCTTTAACCCCGCGAAATCAGTCTTGGATTCGCCACGGTGCTTTCCGACAAGTGTCAACCGCGTCTTCTGGCTTCAAGGTGAATCAACCCACGGATGCCATCCAGACCCCTGGGAAACACACGGACGACGATGCAGTTATCCCTACCCACGTCTAGCGCATGTCAAGGTTTGTCCTTTGCAACCCTACCAATATGGAGCCGTGGGAATCAAGTGCTGTTTCCACCTCCACGACGAGCCGGCCATCATCTCCCGGCTGATCTCAATATAACCGCCTCAAGCAATGAGCCTGGCGTGTTTCGACTTTCGTGTTTTCATGGTTCCAACCAACCTACATTCTATCCGTCCTCAATGATGCGATTCTTGAACAATCTTCCCGAGGGGTCGTCGTCCTAGCGTGACCACCATGCCCTGACAAGCTCCCGGATTTCTGGGCTCGCCTGTTCTTCATCTCGCCAAATTGCACTCAATAGTCTCCCCTGGCTAGCATCGCCCCAAATACCGTATCGGGCGCGAACCGTTTGGTACTGGTTTGCTGAAGGAATGGGCCGTTGCCAGATTCGGTTCCCTGGCCCCGCGACATGTTTCCCCATCATCCCTCTTCTGATCCAACCTAAAAGAGGGCATTTCCTCCCGACTTCGAAGACCGACGGGTCTGTTCTCCGATCTTGATGGAAACCCGCATAGAAATGTCCACCTGCTAAGGTGACCGGTCATGGACTCCCCGGGACGCCAGTCCGGCACCAGCCTGGCCGACCTGATACGCACATCACAGCTTCTTACCGATCGGTACAGTACTGTTGCCAATAGCCTCAATACGGCACCGGTGACGCTGTCTGATCTCGCCAAAGAATGTCGCGCCGTGACAGATGCTCTCCGACGATTCAAGTACCTGCGCGAAACGATACCGGAAACCCTCGTTTTCGATCCAGTCCTTCTCGACCAATCCTGCCAGGATGCCTTGGACTCGATCAACACAGACTTGTCGTCTCTCGACTTCTACAGTACGCGAATTCGCCCGGCGACGAGCGATAGTGCTGTCGACATGTCCTCGGGACAAATTACCATCATTTGGAACGAAGACTCTCTCAGGCAAATTCAACGCCAGCTAAAGACAAATCGTCAGTCTCTTACATTTCTTCTTAATTGTGTTCCAAGGTATGTCAAACTCGGACCAGTTGCGCGGACGTTGCTCACCAAGACAGCGAACATGTGACATCCAAAAACCACTCCACATTCATGCACTCATCCCGCCTAGTGTCATGGGATTGTGCGATCAGCCCGGCAGTACTCAACAAAGGTAGTCGACTGCGTCTATCTACCATCGGTCCGCGACCAAGGCCAGAGGCAGAAACCACCCCCGTCAATGATTCCTTCGAAGTTCGTTCGGCTTTGAAGAGACTCAGACCACCGCCGGGCATACTATACAAGCAGAGCATGAGAACAACCAAAGACTTACACGATGCAATCGATCATGGAGACGAAGCCGCCGTGGTGAAGCTCCTGTTACAGCGCATCGATCCGAATGCGCCTCGCTTTGGCTCGAAACTTTGCCCTCTTCGTCGAGCTTTGAATCGCCAAATTCCATCTCTAGTAACTTTCATAGCTATCGCCGGAGCAGATCTCGAGAGTAGAGGAGACGAAGGCGACACAATCTTGATCACGGCAATCAAGTATGGATACTCCGAGAAGGTCGTCTCGCTATTGTGCGAACTCGGTGCAGATGTGAATGCCGTCGATACGCTGGGGTGCTCGCCAGTCCACTACGCCGCCATGTCAGCCAAAGACGATGACACCTTGGAGGTGCTCATCCGCGCTGGGGGCGAGGTTGACCGCAGGGATTTGGGAACACGAACGCCTCTTATAGCGGCTGTTCAAAATTACCGCTTCAACGCTATCGAAAAGCTTCTCGAATATGGTGCGGACCTGGAAGCCCGACTACAAAATGGCAGAACAGCGCTCCATGTCGCCATATCTATGAGAAGCAGCCCGATGACGGAATTCCTATCAGATCAGGGCGCCTACCTCGACCGACGTGTCAATGAGCACACCGCCTTGACGTACGCAATATCTACAGCTTGTCCGGATATCGCTGAGGTGCTGATAGGGGCCGGGGCCGACGTTAACTTGCCGAGCTCGAAGAGCAACTTTCCGTTGCTCGCGGCTGCCTCAGCCGGGGACTTACGCACCATGAAGCTTCTCCTCTCTCGTGGTGCCAATTTTGATGCTACCGGTAGCGAGGGGTACCTACCCATGCACATGGCAGCTCATAAGAATCGAGTCGAGGTGCTGCAACTTCTCTTTAAAGCTGGATCACAGATTGACCCAACGACAGAACATGGAGAGACGCCTCTCACCATCGCGATGCACTTGGGATGCTTCGAGGCTGCTCAATTTCTGATCGAGGTCGGTGCTGAGGTAGACCACTCCGCTCCTGGAGCAGAGAGAATCATATGCCAAGCTCTCAAAGCCGGCAACACGCGAATTGCAATCGCCCTCATCCGAGGTGGTGCAGACCTCACAACCCCGTTGTTGCGAAACTCCAGCATGACACCGCTACATCTTGCAGCCCACTACGGACAGAACGACGTGCTTGCGACGATGATCAGTACGGGCGTCGACCTCGATACTAGGACCTGGCCAGGGTTCACCCCACTCTTCGCTGCCGCAAGGGCAGGGCACCTCGACACTGTGCGACTTCTCCTCGCCGCCGGGGCGTACCTCAGAGCTCGATCAATGTCAGGGGCGAACCTGATGTTCTTTGCCACAGCGCATCCCGCAATGATCAAGCTTCTGATAGACCTTGGACTAGATGTTCGTGAGCGCGATCACCACGGCGCAACACCGCTGCATTATGCGGCTGTCAAGGGTCAGTACGCGACAGTGAAGCTGTTGTTACAACATGGCGCGAGGTTGGTTCATGCCAGCGCCGTCTTCGAGTCTCTTCAAGACTATAAAACGAAAGCGAAGTATCGCCAAGGCACTGCTGCAGGCCTCGCTAGACAGAAAGGTCACATGAAACTTGCGCGACTTATTGAGGGGTGGAAGTTCAAGACTTGATGCGCTGATACTCTCTTTGCTCCCACTTTTGCTGCCCACTAGCAGTGTATTTCCTATGTTGACCGAAGATCTATATTGATATCAGAAGATACCCAACGATTGCACGTAGGCGTTTGGTCAACACGACGTGATCATCACCACTGGCCCATACGCCATTTTCCTATTCCAATACAAGATTTCCCATCTCTTTCCTGCCATCTGAATTATGCAACTTGGTCTAAGACTGGGAAACGATATTGATCACAGCGTGCAGCTTTCAAATATCCATCACCTCTTTCACTAGAAATGCGGAAAGAAATCAGACCACTCCGGGGTCTCATACAACGACGCAGGAGCCTCGCGCAGATTGATAAACGCCTCAATAACCAAGAACACCCTCGC